ATTATATTGAGGTATGTTCCCTCCAGACCAATTCCTTCTAGGACTTTTAACATGAGTGCATGTTGGATTTTGTCAAATGCCTTTTCTGCATCTATTGGAATGACCATGTGATTTTTGTCTTTTAATCCATTTATATGTTTTATTACATTTATTGACTTACATATATTGAACCATTCCTGCATCTCTGGAATAAAGCCTACTTGATCGTGGTGGATGATCTTTTTAATGTGCATCTGTATGTCTTTTGCAAGTATTTTGTTGAGTGTCTTTACATGTATGTTCATTAAAGATATGGGTCTAAGGTTTTCTTTTTCTCTTGCGTATTTCCCTGGCTTTGGTATCAGAGTGATGCTGGCTTCATAGAAGGAATTTGGGAGCTCTCCCTATGTTTCTATCTTTTTGCATAATTTAAGCAGTATTGCTTGCAGGTCTTCTTTGGAAGTCTGGTAGAATTCTGTGAATCCATTTGGGCTGGGCTTCTTTTAGTTGGGAAATTTTGTATTACTGTTTAAATTTCCTTATGTGTTATGTGTCTGTTTAAGCTGTTGGTCTCTTCTTGGTTTAACCTTGATGGTGTCCATGACTTTAGAAATTAATTCATTTCTTTTAGGTTTTCAGATTTAATGGAGTATAGATTCTTAAAATATTCCCTTACAATGTTCTGGATTTTTTAAGGGTCTGTTGTAATGTTTTCCCTTTCATCTCTGATTTTGTTAATTTGGACTTGTTCTTTCTTTCTTTTGGTTAACTGAGCTAGGGGTCTATCTTGTTTAACTTTTCAAAGAACCATCTCTTAGATTCATTGATTTTTGTTTCTTCTTCTCATATACTAGGTTGGAGGTTGGTTTGTTCTTGCCTCTCCAGAGTCTTGAATTGTACTGTTAAGTCATTTATTTGTGCTTTTTCTGATTTTTTTAAATTGTAGGCACTAAGAACTATAAAGTTCCCTCTTAGGAATGCTTTTAATTTTTTTTTGAAAAAAGGTATTATTTTTATTTTATGTGTATGCGTGTATTGACTGCAGGTAGGTATG